TTTGCAATTCATTTGAAAATTTGTTAGGGATGGGTGGTATAAAATCAAAGAGATTCAAAAATTATATATAGAGTAGGCATAGTTGATACCTCACTTGAAATGTTTTTCACATAAATCATTAACGGTGACGTCACGTACGTCAGTGGCAGCTGTTTACTGTGAACTATAATTGCGTTAAAAAATATTAAACAAGTGTTTGGCACTGTTAATTACGTCGCGGAGTGAAGTAGAGTGTATTAACAGCATTTGTTATTGTTATCTAATCACAATTCGGACAATTCAGCAATAAAAGTGCTCATAATATGTGCTATAATATTTCTTGTATTACCTTACAACTTTAGTATAATTTTAATCTCGGCAATAGTGAAAGTATCACTTTGTGGCTACGTACTGCAATTTTTTTTTTATTAGTGTTTTGACGATAAAATTGTTCGCTTAAACTTCTAACGAAATTAAATATTTTTATTTTTTATTTTAACGAAATATATAGTAGCGCCATCTGTTGACAACAATGCCGAAGTGTCGTGCGTGCGGAAAGTATGCGGCAAATGCCGACTGTTTACGTTGTATTAAGTGTACAAGTGTGTACCACCGCGCCTGCAGCGCCGTGCCTGCCGGTCCTATACCTTTAGGTTTCGTGTGCCAGGGTTGCAAGGCTAAGCCAGCGGACAATATGTCGGCAGAAAGCTCGAGCCCAGGTGATGAAATAACGGCCACCGGAAAGGGCGGCGCAGACTGTTCCCGTATGCTCTGCGAACTCATAGAAGAGATAAAGGGACTCCGAAGCGACCTTAAAGAGGCAAGGAATGAGATGAAGCAGTTCAAGGCAGATCTGCAGGCATGCTGCAGTCGAATAACTTCTGTCGAAGGCAAAGTTCTCGAGGTTGAGAAAAAAATCGACTCAAAAACCTTCGATAACGCTCACCTTGAGAACACAATAGCGGACCTGAAAACGCAATTAAATGAACGGGATCAAGAGCTGCTGCTAAATGATGTGGAAATAGCCGGCCTGCCAGAGGAGAGAAAC